AGATTTTCTCTCAATTAAATAACATATACAAAAATGTGAATAACTAAGTTGTTATCAACAGGTCCTCGTAGACACTTCGTCTCAGGCAGGACCATTTTACTTATGTAGAGTCATACGCCGCCATGTTACCTATCCAATGGTAACTTCAACATCACAAATTATAACTATTAATAATGTAAAACAACTACAAATTTAAAACATTTAAAGGGTTTTGACCCATATATTTTGGTGGCTACTAGCATGTACAACCGTTTGCACTGATGATGGATTTATTAATCCGAAAACGTTTTGCAATGTGTTTGTGATAGCCCGTTTGGGGCATTTTTTATATACTTTTTATAAAGGATTTTAAACAATTTTTTTTTAATATAAAAAGGGTATGTAATGTAGAAGACATAAAAATACATGGGCAACAAAACGAAAACAGGAATGGAACAAACACATTAGCAGAATGGCAGAAGATATGATAGTAAGAATAGCACTAGACAAATAATCAAATGGTCGAAGAAGTGTTAGAAGACCAGGAAATAGATACTGTGATAATGAAAACAATACAGGGGACTAATATGACAGCAAAGACATTCCTTAAAAGCCTATATATAAAAAGAAAGAAGTTTATTTACTATTATGTTATAAGCTAATATTTAGCTTCATTGAATTTTCTTTTTATTTTTTAAAATTAATAGCTTCAATAATGTTAAAATATGTGTATAAATAAGATATGTTATCGCACGGGTTTTTCCAGTATTTAGGAGTTATTAAAAAACAAATCGTTTTCTAAAAATGAGTACCAATTTTCCCATTTGGAGTAGGTAAATACTTAATGTCGAATTGTTAAACAAACGTCAAACATGTGTTTTAAGCGGTTTATACAGTTATGGTTAAATAGTGTGACGTACAATTATTAGTTAAGTTGGACATTCTAAAGAATATATCTTGGTTCAGTTTGCTATGTTTTAATAATACACGACAAAATTACAAACAAAAGCTTTTTCTTTAGACCCGCATTTTAATCCCGGACTCTTTATTATTATTTGCAAAATTATCATTTAATTCTTCTTCAAATTTATTCGAACTGTCTGTTTTCGAATCTTGTTTGTTTTTGCTTTTCTTATTGATCTTTTCACAGGATTTCTGTGTGTATTGTATCAATTTGTCTTCTGTTTCCATGTTTCTTTTTAGATACAATAAATGTCTAAACCATGAGATAAAGAAGAACAAGTAGATTATTCACTGTACTGACTGTATCACTTTCAAAGTCAAACACTTCAGTTTCTGTGTGATTTTTGATTTTATTCGGAAGTTTTTAAAAGTCGAAATCAGTTTCTGACAATTGTTTCAACTCCCCTTAATAATCAAAATCGTTGAATTAGCCCACTATCACAAAATAAATCCATGAAATAGTTTCATTAAAACTGACTTGGATCAAAATAGCAATTTCTTTGTAGTGATGTTTACTGTTCAATATATAAATTTTTAGACAAAACACAAATTAAAAAAGCATCAATACGAATATACAAATACTTTTTTTTCTAATTGATCGTTTAAATACCATATTTACCATTTGGATTTATATTTTCTTGTAATAATAAAGCACAGTGAGGTAACACTGACGAATCAAAAATAGAAGGTCATTTTTTCTAAGAATGGATCATTGTATATTTTTATTTTTTTATTTATTGGCTATTATTTATACGCTACAATAAAAACATGATTTTCATGGGTTCACCATAATATGTGATTATGTGTTAGCTATAACTTTATAGCCTATAAGTCGCAGAAAAGCAATTTTTTCAAGACAGTTCCTGTTTTTGAGAACGATGTGATTTTAAAAAGGATATTATATAATTTGTAATAAAATATAGTATGAATTAGGCCTTTATCTTTAACGAATCATGAACGACTCATTTTTAAAATAAACATTTTTAATTTGTTTATATTTAAACTTAAACTCTTAGTTTTTCAAATGGTTCTTTTTTAAATTGCTTATTGTTTATAAACAAAGCTACCTAACTCATGTTTATTACATATCGTTATCACTAAATTTATCAAAAGCAGGCTGTTAGATACCTGTATCAACGAGTATCATGGGAAAATCGTTCTCTTGTCTAAGACATTGATCTACTACTCTATTACATTTACACATAAACGGGGATGCAACTTCACGACATTAACGTCCATAATATATTCATTGATACATTGCTTAACGTATGCTTGATACGTATGCTTGATAGATTATCAAAAGAATTTTGATAGCGTATGACATCAGAAACTCGTAAAACTGTTAAAAGAAAAGAATGTGGATAGTTGAAATATAAGGATTATTGTCAATCTAGACTGGAATCAAAAAGCAAAGGTTAGAATCGAAAATGTCGATACAGAAACAATAGAAATCAAAAGGGGTGTTAGGCAGGGTTGCGTACTGTCCCCATTGTTATTGAATCTGTACAGCAAAGCTATTTTTAAAGAAGCAATATCAGAGGAACAACAGGGTATATCAATAAACGAAAAAATGTTAAACAACATAAGATTCTCAGACGACACCGCTGTTTTTGCAGACTGTCTAGAAGCATTGCAATGCTTAGTAAATAGATTACATCAAGTATGTATAAAATATGGACTACAAATGAACGTTAAGAAAACCAAGTTCATGATTATTTCTAAGCAACATACAGTAGCAAGGCTAGATATCAACTAGATAGAACCTGGGTAAATAAAAACAATGACCAAGGTAGAGAAATAAGGACACGCATTGAAATTGCAAAACAAGCATTTATAAAAATGAAAACAATGTTTGTCAATCGAGACCTTACTCTGGATCTGAGGATAAGAGCCTTCAGATACTACGTGTTCTCGACTTTGTTGCATGCAATGGAAAGCTGGACACTAAAAGTCTATACTATAAAGAAGTTGAAATCATTTGAGATGTGGTGCTATAGAAGGTGCTGAAATAGAAGTGTTAAGAAGGCTACAAAAAGATTGCGAGGTCATAAAGCACATTAAAACAAGAAAGCTGGAATATTTAGGCTACATTACCTGGCAGAAGTGCGAAATATGAGATATTAAGGCTCATAATGCAAGGTAAAATCAAGGGTAAAAGATCCATAGGAAGAATTTCCTGGCTGAGAAACCTAAGAGTGGTATAGTTGCAGCTCAGTAGATCTTTTTATTTAGAGCATTTAGGGCATCCGCCCATAAGGTACGGATAGCTGTGATGATAGCCAACCTCCGATATGAGAAGGAACTACAAGAAGAAGAATGAATAAATTAAAGATGTACAATAAGCAGATTTAACCAGGTTATAACAGAAGGGTTTCATAAAAAATCTTTAATGATTCTTCAGAAAATAGTTTTAGGTTTTTTGAATCGATGCTCTCGAGTTATAGGAATATACAGATGAGTACAGTCATCATCATCCAGCGTCAAGAGTCCACTGCTGAACATAGGCCTCTTCCTCATGTTTCCAACCCCGTCTATCTTGCGCTGCTCTTATCCAGTTTTTATTGATTCTTCTTAAATCGTCAGTCCATCGTGTAGGTGGTCGACCGACGCTTCTCTTGTCTTCCCTTGGCCTCCATTCCAATAACCTCTTTGTCCATCACCCATCTGTCATTCTGGCTATGTGTCCTGCCCATCTCCATTTTAGTCTGGCTATCTTCTCGATGATGTCAGTCACTCCGGTTCTTCTGCTGATGTCTTCGTTGGTTATTATGTCTCGCTAAGTTATTCCTAACATGGACTGCTTCATTCTTCTCTGTGTGACTCTCAGTTTGGTAGCTGCTGCTTTTGTTAAGGTAAGTGTTTCTGCTCCGTACGTCAAGACTGGGAGGACGCACTGATCAAATACCTTTCTGTTTAGGCATGTGGGCAGCTCACTTTTAAAAGTTTCTCTCAGTTTTCCAAATGCTGCCCACCCAAGGCCGATTCTTCTCTTCAGTTCATGAGTCTGGTTATCTCTGCCAATCATAATTTCATGTCCCAGGTATTTATATCTATCTACGAGTTCAATTTTTTTTCCACCAATACTGATGTTCTGGTTGGGTACCAAATTGGTTATGATTTTTGTTTTCGAGATATTTATATTTAAACCTACATTTTCTGTAGCCACAACGAGTTCCTGTACCATCTCTCTTGCCATACCTAGATCTTCAGCTATTATAAGTATACCATCGGCGAAATGTAAGTTGTTTAGATATTCTCCATCTATCTTTATTCCCTTTGTCATCCAATCACCCGTTTGGATGAGTACAGTGCCTATGAGAAATAGCTAGTGGAAGACCTGCACCCCGATGGATAGAACAAATAAAAAAACATGACTGGTTGCTTATTCTCGAAAGTAAAACATGTGCAAGAAAGAGAAAAATGTACGCACTAGTACACTGTCACTGCATCCTCACGGATCATAGAGGACAGGAAGAGTTTAGTTAAAGGCAGTTCAGTTAGAGTACGATTGATGAATCAAAAGAAAGTATGCTAAGTAACAACAAATTGTAATGAAACTAAAGGTAAATTCCTGAAACTATGGAATATACCAAAAACCACAAATACATGAAACTATAGTTTTACAGGAAAAGTTTTTCTAACAAAAATATCAACCGATTAAATTAAATTGTTCTTTTTTATATTTTTGTTTATTTGAAATGGATTCATTTACCATTTCTAAAAATAATGTAAAGTGACAGACGCATTCACTGTAAATCCCCAAGGCCCACAAGTTGTTTCCGTTGTTGTTTAGATAAAAGTCTGTCTAAAAAATATGTTTAAACAAAATTTTTGTATTGGACTACCAAATAGAATCATAAATACTTATTTACAGTATGTATTAATGTTATATCAAACCGAAAAATGTAATAGATTATTAGTGATATCTTTTTTAATTACTATCACTTCGTATACTTCACATATTTTTCAAAGAAACAATTTTTACAAACCAACTTGTTTATCTCGAAGACGATAACCCCTACAAAGTCATTTTTGGTCGCAAAAATATCTAAACTTACTTTCATAATCTTCATAAGCATATGAAAATCCGGAACCACAGATAATAGAGGCTGCACACAACACAATAAACACCAAGTTTTCCATCACTTCCAAGGCACACTTCTCAATTAAAAATACAAAAATTCATGTTCATTGTCAAGATCGACTTGATGACCGCTAATGAGGATCCAAAGCGACTAGTACCATACCATTTGTTCCGCTGCTTCTCTTGTTTGGTTCACTCGATTCTGATTGTAAATAACAAAAGTTGTGTGGCGGGATAGTAATGTTACTGGGATTTTTCTGCGCATACTCATCGGTGGCAATAAATTATTAAATATTTAAGTAATAATTAGGAAATCCAAAATTTTAGAAACTCAGGCGGATTCGTCGATCGGGTGATGCATATTTAAATTTTACAGCTTATGAAGTATTCAGAGGAAAGTGGTACCTTGACGCAAAAATCCCAATTTGTTTGTTAAAAAAAAAAACCTATATTTTAATAATATCATACGTGTTTATAAATTATATTGTCAGAAATAAAGAAGCAAAAATATGACTTGTTTAACCTTCATTAAAATTGGAACTAAGAGCTAGGTTGGCGAGGTGCTATATTTTTTCGACTTTGTAAATATAAAATCTTTATAAAATGGAATCTTGGACCTTAAATGCGACATCAATGAAAAAACTGGAATCATTCAAGGTGTGGGTGTATAGAAGAATTCTGAAAATATCGTGGACATAACACGTCACAAACAAAGAGGTTCTGAGAAGGATGAATAAAGAAGTAGAAATTTTAAATACAATAAAAACAAGAAAATTGGAATATCTCGGACATATTAGCCGTGGAGAGAAATACACCTTGCTCCAACTGATTATGTAGGGAAAGATTCAAGGAAAGAGATACGTAGGGAGGCGTAGCATGTCATGGCTGCGCAACCTGTGAAAATGGTACATCAAATCAACTTTTCAGAGCTATGATGATTGCCAACCTCCGTCGCGAAAATGGCACTTTGATGGCCGCAAGATTGACTAAATCTAGAGAAATATGCCAATATGTCACTATGGCTTTAAAAAGAGGTAAATAATGCCAAATATGAGATGTAGATTAAAGCCTGCGATAACGTAGACAATTGTAGACAATAACGTAGACATTAGTACGGGTACCACAAGAAGTTAAAAAGCCTGGAAAACAATTAGCGGTAGTAGAAAAGATATAAAAGAACGCGGTCGGTTAACTCTAATATCTCCGGAGTTATGTGTTGAATATAACAAAAAATTCTAACTGAAGATCGAACAGAATTCCAAGATACTGACTACGAAAATATGATATTTCCTATTGCGAAGAAACTGAAATAACACTAGAAGAAATTAAAAAACACGCGAAAGTTATGAAAAATGGGAAGGATCCAGGACTGGGGGGAGTACCCATATAACTGATTAAATATAGCCCTGACCAACTAGTTCAGCTCTTGGGTTGTAGCGTTAATTTATTCTTGAGACCTAAAGAGCTACACTCAGAACGGAAAACTGCATATATCAGCAATTTATACAAAAATAAAGGCGATAGAAAGGGATAGAAAGGATAGAAAGGCGATAAGAACTACCGAGGGCAACCAACTCAATTTGTAGAATGTAGGGGAAGATAATTAGAAGCCGAATTGAAGATTGTTATAAGACGCTGAAGATTAAACTGGCATTCGTACCGGTTGTGTTTGCAAAGACAAAGTGTTCTCTCTCAAAAGCCAATAGAAATGCACCTGAAATATAATATGGAGACACACATGATCTCTATTAATCTTTAAAACGTGTATGATAGTGTCCCATTAGCCAAGCTGTGGCAGATGCTAAAAGATTCGACCGATTTATATTAATGCTGTGAGGGAGTTGTACAAAGATATGACGAGTTCAATAAAGATTGGACAAACAGTGACCCATAAGATGTGACCAAAGGACTTCTCCAAGGCTACTGAATTTCACCTATGCTTTTTAACATTTAATTGTAGGGATTTTGGATATTTGGAAAAGAAAATGTGATCCTAAGTGTGTTAAAATTGGTTATCATAAACTGTACAGCTTGCATTTTGCGAATGACCAAGTAATACTTGCAAAAGATCTAGATGATGTTCACTACATGTTGCGATAAATAGATGAAAAATATACTAAGTGGAGTTTATCAAGTAATACATCAAAAACAGAGTACATATAAGTGGGGTGTGAAATACGGTACTTAGAACTAAGAGGCATATAAACCGAAAAAAGGCGATAGCTATAAATAAATATCTTGGTGTAAGCATTACAAACGATGCTCGAGATACAAAAGAAGCTACTAGAATTGGTCTAACTAATTCAGCAATACGTTTGGAATTATATACTCTGGAATAACCACATTACTCGAAACAGATAAAGTAGGATATAAAAGGTATCATAGAAAGTGATATGGTACAGAGCTTTGGGAAATAAATAAAAAAGACGCCTCCAAAATAAAAGCGATGAAAATGAATTACTGGCGCATATGTTACCAAATCACTTGAAGAGATAAAGTAAGGAGTACTGAAATCAGAGAGTGTATGAGAAGGCATGAACATTGACATCCTAGAAACTATAGAATGTAAAAGGCTAAAATGGTATGTCAATAGGATGAATGACCAAAGATGGCCAAAGAGAATATTACGTGGATTTCACCCACCGCAGGAAAATCAGAAGTCCAAGAAGATAGTGGAGACAGGAGGGTGCAATGGAATATAGGGTCTACAAATAGATGACTAAAATGATCGCAGATTTTGAAAGCTAATGCGAAAAACGGCTACAGCTGATCCAGGCTTCAAAAAGATGAGACAAAATATAACATCAAAGCATTCTTATCGGAAACGTTATATTGATATTCCGATTTTAGAAAAATTTTCTCATACTGTTAAAAGTTGACAGTGCAATTTAAATGCGGCATCTTATTTCTTTTGTCTTTTCAGTATCTTCTGTAATCTATGCTCCAATGAATTTGTACGAAGATATTTGTTTAATTTCTGTATTATCTGGACTAGCTTAACTTTGATTTTTTATGCTTTTGTAAACAGCATAAACTTGGTTTTTTTAAATTTATTTTTGGTCCATAATCTTTGCAATGCATAGTTAATTGTTGAGCAAGATGTTGTAGTGCTTGTAGAGCTTCCACCAGAGGGTCTGTATCGTTAGCATATGTGGTCAGCATATCTTATGTTATTAAGTAGTTCACGATTTGTTATTAGGACCTCATTGACTTTCGTCCAGTGTACATAACAAAAGGTTGGACTCAAGTTATAAGAACAGCCCGCAATAAACCTAACACATTTAAAGTTAACCATTTAGTGCACCAAGAATTTATGGATATTTGTCCAGATAAATGTAATTTTCGTGTTGAAGACAACAGTAATACAAGTCTACCATTTGGAAAAACAGTTTGGTTTATATACAAAAAACAGATCTAAATGCTGTAGATCTAAATGTCACCCTTTGTCAAATATGTGCTTTAAATAAGGTATGGGAAGATTTACAGATTCACGTGCATACCATCATCATCATCATCATCATCATTCAGCCCATACTCGTCCACTGCTGAACATAGGCCTCCCGTAGTTCACCCCACAAATTTCTGTCCTGAGCCGCCTGCATCCAATTTTGATGTGTCCGTTTCAGGTCATCCGTCCATCTTGTTGGTGGTCGTCCTCTATTTCTAAAGGCATCTTGTCTGGGTCTCCACTCAAGAATGCGTTTTGTCCATCTGCCGTCCTTCGTTCTCGCGACGTGCCCTGCCCAGTTCCATTTTAAGGTTGATATTCTTTTGATTGCGTCGGTTACTCCCGATCTACGGCGCAATTCTGTGTTGGGTATTCGGTCTCTCAGGGTTAATCCCAACATGGACCGTTCCATTGCCCTCTGTGTTGTTCGAATTTTGTTTGCGGACGTCTTAGTAAGTGTTAGCGTCTCCGCACCATAGGTTAGAACTGGCAGCACACATTGATCGAAGATCATACGAAGACCATCGAAGGTGCATACCATAGATTTTATGAAAGCCTTCCCACCCAAACTCTTATAAGGGATACTCTGCCTGAACGATACTCTGCCTGAACCAGATATTTCAGAAGAATATGAAAATGACGACACAACATAATTATTGCTTTGTGTTGTATTTTTTTTGTATTTGGTCATGATTTTATTTTCATATTTTTTTTATCTTGTATTATTTTTCCTAGTAGTTGTGAATAAAAATTATTAGTAGTTAGTACCTATATTATTATTATGAGAAGTATAACAATTTTTTCTCATATAAGCTTTAAATTAATTGTAGGAAATGGGGCTTAACATAAATACTAAAGTATATTCAATACTTTACATTAGCCGAAGTATATTGGACAAGAGATAATTTTGCAATAGGTAACTAACGAATCTGCATTTTTTTGCTTTGATAAAGGATATTGCAATTTAGATTAAGTTATTTATATAAAGACACATTTATACAATCTAATACAAAAATGTCGTTTCATCATCATCACTGGATCGACAACCCTTTTTGGGTCTTGGCCTGTTCAAGGATTCTTCTCCATTCTGATCTGTTTCGTGCTTTTTTTTCCAGTTTTTAATTTTTAATGTTGTTATATCATTTTCTATTTGTTCTACGTATCTCAGCTTCGGTCTTCCTCTTGTTCTTTTTCCTACTGGCACTTGTTTGAATATTTTGTTTGGTATTTCGCCTTCTTCCATTCTTTCCACATGTCCAATCCAACGTAGCCTTCCTATTTTAATGAATGTTATGATATCCGGATCCTGGTATATGTTGTATAGTTCAAAGTTATACCTTCTCCGCCAAATCCCGTTTTCTTTTGTGCCCTTATATATGTGTCGCAAGATTTTTCTTTCAAAGGTGGCTAATAACGTTTCCTTCCTTTTAGAGAGTGTCCAGGTTTCTGAACCGTATGTGAGTACCGGTCTTATTAGGGTTTTGTATATTTGGCATTTTGTTTTTCTGGAGACGTTATCTGATCTTAGTTGCCTAATCAAGCCATGGTAACATTTATTGGCAATAAATATTCTCCTCTTCACTTCCTCTGCAACGTTGATATCAGACGTAA